TCTACTGTCAGGACCTTTATAAAAGTTCAGAGTATTTCAGGATTTTCATGGGTTGCTCAGCAACATATGAAATTAAGTTGTGTTTTAATCTCCATGGCAAGTATATGTGAATGGCAGCTCTTGAGACAGACATAAATTTGAGGCATTTTTCATCAATTTTCCCACTTACAATCATGACAACTAGTATGCATTTCAGAGTCATACATCCAACCAATTGAAATCCTTTCTTTAAACGTATGTTTAGTCTTTTCCGTTCAGTTCAGCTTAGGACTGAGTGACTCACATGAAGGTGTGCTTTGTACTGCCTTGTCAGGAATTGTCTGCGGAACAAGCACAAACCCTTCTATAAAATGCTGCTGTGCTTGTAGTATCAAATCAATCTCCTATCAGTCTCATAAAAGTAAAGTGAGTCACCTTCTTTCAGTGAGCCTGTTTGGTTTTGCATTTCAAATATAAGACCTGTTGGAATACTTTTTACTTTTGAGGGTCTGCTTAGCTTTGTGGCAGGCCGCTAGTGACCTTTTAGCTACATTTGATACCATTCCTATTACTCTGAGAGAAACTGTTTCCCAGGAAGACAGACATCTGGAAAGCCTGTATTGAGATCAACTGATTTCCTACACAGCATAGCTGAATTTAGGTAAGAATCTATGTAATCTCAGGTGATGATAACAGCATTATGGCTGTGTGGTTTGGCTAGACAAAGAGAAATCCCTCCTCTGCTGCACCAGCCATAGTTTGGCTTAGCCTCTCCCTACAAATCATTGCATCACATTGGATGTTTTAGTGTCTTCAACTCCCATATTGACATGACAGCTTTCCCTGGAGAAGACAACTTTTTACTATTATTACTTAGTGCCTTGACCATGAGACATCTGTTGGCAGCCTCTTAAGGATGGAGGGCAAGTGAAAACAGTGACACGTTGCTGTCTTGTATGAAGATGAGGTGATCAAATACATGTTTAAGCTCCTTGATAGTGATGATACCCATACAGAGACTCTACAGACTATAAAAGGAATTACAAAAATCCAGCTGAGATGTAATGAAAACATGAAGTAATGACTTTTTATCCTCCTGTGAGAATCCTGGTCTCAGCTTTGCTAATTCCTAGAGATGCCAGCATGACACTTTTGATGTAAAAAATTCAATGAATGACCCTAACGTTATGTTCAAAGTTGCATGAATATAAAAGCAGCAACTCAGATTCAATGTGGTTTTGCAGATTTTTAACCCCCAGGAATTATTCAGGGACAACTGTCCCTTTCATGTAGAGGTGAATCAGCAACAGTTTCCTTGGGGTCTTATGAGAATGAAAAATGAACTTTTGTGTCAGCTTCATAACAGCAGGTTTGCACTGACACAGAGCAGCAGAGAGCTGCTCCCTCGGGACCTCAGCAGATAACCAGGCTGGACAAAACCACTTAATTCAAGTGTAGAAAACAGAACAAAAGACTGAAAACATTTCAGGCAACAATAAGCTTTGAATGCTCGAAACAAGTCAACAGACCTGCTAGGGAGAAAAGAACATCCAACCCAACAACCCAAGGAAAATATCCCAAACTAATTTCTCTGCCAAAGATTTCAGAAGATCATGTTTTCACGGTAGTTTCCAAGTGAAAAGAAAGATTTACTGTCATTGCTCCTACAGAAGTTTACACTGAGGAGTGGTAACCTTTTTCCAGAGACAAAATGTTCAAAACTTGTCAACGCTTCCAACGGGAAATAAAGCTGCTTTTCTGCCTCAGAAATCCTGCTGGCTGCTAGTGTTGACACAAAAGTCACTCTTGACCAAGATCCTGAATGCTCAACAAGCTCAGTAGGGTGGTGTAGTTGTTTTGTTTATTTACAAGTGTGGCAAGTTTCCTACTGTAGCTGCTACCACATTTAAATGATCTTGGCAAGAGCAAAGTGTAAAGGATACATTCTGAAGAGGGACCGTGTCATTGCCTGGCAGGCAATTTTCTTTGTTTTGTTTTTCTTTTAAACCCAAACCACATCTTTCCAGCCTCTGCAAAGTGTTACTATTTCTGATGATTTTTGAAGCAGGTATAATGGTAGGGAGATAAACAAGACTCCAGAAAAAAGCCTCACACTGACCTTGGGGCATAAAATTGAGAGCTCTCCATGCTGGCTTTTCTTCCTCAGCACAACCATTTAAGGCAGACCAATACATTACTTAGAATTTCTGCAAGGTATTGTAAAAGTAATAGCATTTCAGCATCCCAGAAAGCCAAAGAGGAAGTCCTTTAAAAAGTTAAGGAACATTTTTCTGGATCCATAGTAAGCCTACAGGCAGAACACTGCCATCTAAATCTACCTTCACCAACCTTAAGAGGAAGCAGAAACGTCCTTCAGGACGAGCATATGTAAATGAAACAGACAGTTATGCCAGGAGCCAGAAAAAAAAAAAGACCAAGTTACTTGGAATGTTTACAGCATTCAAAGTCTAGTGCAGCTTGCTCAGAGAGTCAATAAGGCTGGAAGTGACCGATGGCCCTAGAAAGGACACTGTGGTAAAATACCAGGAAATGAATGTTCTAAATAATACTTGTTATAAGAAGTCTTCACCTCAGGTTTTAATGAATATTCTGCATTTCCTGTTTTCTGGGCAAGAAGTCAAGAGGTTTCGTGTTTGGGTTGGTTTTGTACGGGATCACTAGATTATTTTTCCCTTCCCTACTTCACTTTGCTGCATACTACTCAGCACCTCAGAAGAGCAAAGCTTTCAAAGCATAGCCATGTAATTTTCATAATCAACTGGTCCCTTTTAGCAAATCCAGAAGTTTAAACGCTCAATGCTTCTGTGTACTCCAAACCTATCATACTCTTGTTCATCCCTTCTTTCTCTACCCTGCTGCCTCATTTCCCAATGTGCAGAGGAAACAGTATGTTCCACAGTGCTTGGGGAACACTTGCCCCTGAATTGTGCTATTGGAGCTGATAGAGAAAGCAAACCCCGCAGTGGTGAACTCCTCTCAAACTGTGTCCTTCTGGCCACCGCTTCTTGTCTCCACAAATAGAGCTCACCTCAAATGCCTACACTGTGCGGCACAGCAAGAAGTGGTCTGTGTGGCAGGTTTAGTCTGGCAGCTTGTGGCTCCAAAAAACATGAGTCCACATGTTAGATTTCACCCAGCATCACTCAGCAGCTCATGCTGCCCATGCCTTAGCTATTTCATATGATGATGATGGGAAACTCCAACTAATGAACACATCAATTTCGAAGTCCCTCTAGACAGCCATTTCACAATGTAGTGTGTATTCTTGCTAGGTTATGATTTCGGGAGGAACTTAATTAGTGAAATTGCTTACAAATCCAACATTGTGAATGTCAGCCACAGATCCATCTCAAAATAATGTGATTTTAAAACTCATCCTAGACACATTCTGCAGAGGGCGGTTCTGAAATAATGCTTCTTCCCCTTGGAAGAATTAAACTACCAAAGGTTTGTGTTAAATCAGCTATTTCATAGCGTCTATATTCAGTAAGAAAGTGTTATTGGAATACACATTTTGGGATCCTGCTGGCTACAAATCACTTTACAAACTGATCCACGAATGACATGCCATCTAGAAACTAGTTCAACAGCTGCTAAAATTCAGCCATTTCTGGAACAAACGGCAACAGTTGCTTACAGGACACTAACAGCAAAACTGCATTAGACACACAGGCAGAAGTACAGCATCAAATGCAACCAGATGAAAATTACAAATCTTCAAAGAAGTTTCTGTCTGCACCAGGATGTATTTTTTAAAGATATTGATGACCTATAAAGCCAACATACACTTCTGCTGTTAGCATGTCCCAGCTGGATGAGACAACTTAGAAATACAATTTATTTCCTGCTGCCAGAGTTTTAGAAAGTGTCAATGTGATAAACCAATTTTGGATGAAAAAAGGAAAAGCCACGAAAGAAAGCGAACTTCTCCATTCATGCTTAACTTTAATCTGTAGAAACTCAGCTCAAACTATTCCCATCCTGTGAAAAATTATGCCCCATTCACAGCTGTGCAGTAAACAAACCTGTTTTATGCACTTTAGAACTAATATAATTGGCAATTGCTATATTGATATTTGAAAAAGATGCAGGTATCAGTGTTTGCTAATGGTTTGCAAACGGTTTCTATGCAGTTGACTGAACTATAATTTATATTTCCAATGGGCACTGAAAAGAAAGATAATCCTCAGGTCTTCTGTGTACCGTTATTAGTAAGTTGTACCACAAGTTCATGTGTTTTTAAGGGATATTTTATGAGCATTGCTCATAAAATAATGCAATTATGTTCATTGCTCATTTATCTTCAGTCTCAATAAAAATTACCATATTAAGCAGATAAAGTGGAATTCAGTTTTACTCCTGACTTCAACAACTATCAAGAATCTGAACCTGACTTTCCCCATACTTGATGATAGGGTCAACACACAGTTAGAGATGTTCATCACTAAAAATTGCCTTTCGCCATGAAGCCACCTTTCTGCTACGTCACAAGCTCTTTGTGATAGAATAACCAGAAGCCAGATTCTGAGTACAGTAGCCTAATTTACATGTCATCAAAGCAGGGACTTTAGGTTTACATCACTCTAATGGAGATTACAGTCTTGACTAAATATTCCATATATGCACCCCTGTAAATGCAATAATAACCGGTAAGTGAAAAAAAGAGTAACATCTTAACATGCTTATTTTCCTTTGTAACTTGCATGGTAAATTTACTGCAATACTAAGTGCTTTTCCTTATGTCCTCACTTTATTGTCATCTTTGTTCTTCAAGAAGGTTATTGATTTCTCTCCTCTTCAAATGCTGTGTGATCTGGCAAGTCAAAGGGGATCATTTTAGTGATAGGAATAGATCAGGACATAACCCTGAATAGCAAAACTAAAGAAATGCTACTTCTGGGTGAGCTTGTTGTCACATTAGCAGTGCTGCTGTATGTGAAGAACCCCAAACCCTCATCACGGACTACTGTCAAAGGCAGTTGGTGTGAAGAAATGCCTACCTGAAGACGGCAAGGCTCAGGGACCAGAGCACTAATGGCTTCCTCAGTTCAAATTTTGCTCGTTTGTTCATTAGGTGCCGACCACCAAATATAAAGGCAGCATACAGAGCTGAAAATAGGAATGATTTCTTCCTGCAAAACAAAACCAAAAAACACCTGTCAAGTATTTAATTAGCATTAGATAGACAAGAGAGTTACATCTGGATATAACTGCCAAGGGCTTGTGTGTCTTCTTGAAAGGAAACTCTTTCAATGACCCTCTTGCAGCCCAGCTGAGGTTATTGTTAGTGTATGAACCTACATGCCTGCACACAGGGCAAGGCCCAAGTGCAGGCAAAACTGATGCTGGGGAAGCTCTGAAAAAAGACAAACAGTTTTGGCTCCCATTCTTCCCTGGTTTCTGAAGACTGAACTTCTGTGAGGAACGTAACAGATATTGCAGAGCCAACACACTTCTGCAAGCACAACACAGTTGATACGTGAACCAGCTGATCACATTTTGTGGTTCATTTATCTTTTTCATATCAATTTCTGTTTCCTGCAGGATCCTTACTACCTGGAAATTTAGTTTCCCATTGTTTCCTCCACGAAGGCACTTAACTTCATCACAACATGAAGAGCCCAATGAAAAGTGGAGAATCACAAGAAGTCAATAACCCCATTAAGCAGTGACCATGCTGGGTGGCACTGCCCTGCTGCACAAGCCCTGCCTGTGAGCACCAGTTCAGGAAACCCAGTGACTGTGCTGAAAGGCCAAGCATGGCTCTCTTAAGGAACTTCAATGATACTCTTAGAATTGCAAGTTTTATTTTTAAAACTGCCTGATAGCAGTCCAGCTCAGCAATAATCAGCAAACACTTGAACTCTGCTACTATAACTCATTGTAAAACAACCATTAAAAGTCAAAAATAGACTCAGATTAGGATTCCTTCCCACACAGCACAATAATACACTGACTAAGACCTAATGATCTACAACATTAATGGTGGCCTAACTGTATGGGTATACATTTAGGAATGGATTTTTCTCTAAAAAATCTATAATTATATTCACAAGTATCAGTGGACTATGGCTTTGCACCAAGAGATGCTGGTTCTTTTTGAACCCCCAAAAAGAAACAAACACTCTCAATAAAGGTTTAACTATTTCATTAATATCCCAGACAAGATGGCAGCAAGCCACAAGATCTTATGTTCCTTATGACACTGGAACACCAAGATGATGCAGCATCAGACCAACCTGTGATCAGGGCATGGCATGCTGCCCAGACTGCCTGTCAGGGCCAAGGTTCACTTGCATTGTATTCTGTACAGGATTTTCAGTTGGATGTTTCTACAAAAGTATGTTGCTTCACCTCAAGATAAAGACAACGATGTGCTTGTGGTGCCTGATAGTGCCAAGTAAGTGACACCTCCAAGCTCTTCCATTATGATTAGCCAGCTGAGGGTAACCCATGGTAAGGATTATGGACAGGACAGGATGGTCCTGAAGGCCAAGCATTATGTGCAGTACAGTACAGCACAGCACAGTGCATGCCTGCACCCGTTCAAGGCAACCGGTGCATGAATCACAGGCTCCTCAGTGGAGAAGGGTCCTCCCACGAGGTCCATGAAACCTAAGAAAAGATGTAAAAGCACATCTGACTGGAAGTATGAAGAAAGCACATGCAGCCTTCACTGGAAATAGTGAGTTTATGTGAGTCTGAGAGCTAAGTAAAAGCAAAGTCCAAAGAGACAGAGGCGTATCAGTATACATGCAGCAGCATGCCATTTTCTGTCTATTTAGAAACTCCTCTGTTTATAGCTCTGTGTTGCAAAACATAGGTAACTGCATGAAAATCCGACTGCTCAGTGCTCTGCACTAAGAAATGAAGACCTAGTGCCTGTGGTCCCCTGGGTGACCTTTAGCCCCAGGGTAACTACCGAGTGAGTGCCCTCTCACCTTGTTCATTGAGATGGTCTAATTGCATGGCACTATTTATAACAACCATGTTTTGAAAATGATAAAGCATAGGCCCTTACTCATATCATAATAAAGAAAAAAACATTCATTTTCACCTCTTATGTTCTTGATTTTCAGTCAGGGAAGGGGCAGAATTACCACATTTATCAAATCTGACTGAAGTTTAGCTTGGTTGGAAATCAGTAAATATTTGTTAACCAGTTTGGGTAGTGATGAACCAACTCAAACTTGCTCACACCAAGCTGCATAACTGTTAAGACAGGATTTATGGAATATGGGACAGGAACAAACTCTCAATGTGCAGTTGGACTGCCTTGCCACCTCCTTCCCTCTGCAGCCTCTTCAGCAGCAGCTTGCGGAGCAGCCCACCGCCAACCCGGGCATGAGTGAAGGAGTGTGGTGGGCTGTACCACAGTCTGCAGTGCTGTCCTGGTTGCCCCAGGGCATCAGGAGAGACATCCCCTCTGCATGTTCCTGCCCCTTCAGTCCCACGGAATCTGGGCTTACAGTGCTCAGTGCAGACAGATGGCAATGCACACAACAAGGTATGGAGATACTCATACATGATATATACGTATGGCCATTTGAGCAAGGTCATGTGCAGGAGCCCCAGAGGAGGGACCCTGCAGCCCCATGCCACAGGGTGGGTGCAAACCCCGCACCTCACGGCACTGCAGTGGGAAACCCTCATGCCAGAGGCAGGGCAGGTCTGTGTTGCACTGGTCCATGAGTGGAGTTCCAAAGCAACCAAAAACACTGCAGGATGGTGCAGGGGAAAAGACTGCAACACAGTGCTGCCACGCAGCTGCCAACAGGATGTGAGTTGCGTAGGCTGGCACAGGAGGAGGTCAGGATTTAAGAGCAGTAGCTAAAAGTTCTTTGTGGGAAGGCAGGCAGGTACGAAGCTGTTCAGTTCTGGATCAAATACAGCCAAAACTTCAAAGTAATGGTTTGACTTCAGTTCCAATTCAAGAAAAAAGGACCAGTCTGAATGAGTTAGCAGCTCAGGACTGTGCTCTGTTTGACTCCCTTCTTCCTGGGTAAGATACCCTACATCTTCCTGGGCAAGATACCCTTGCACCAAGTAACATTTTGTTTTGCTTCTTGTTATTGAAACTATTTTTCGCGAGTTCGGTCTATTGAGGTCAATAGTTCCATTATCCTAATTAGAACAGATAGATTTTAGGTCAATTTTAACAGCTTTGTAATGAGTTCAGCAATATTTGCAATGATGATAAACGGTATTCCCTCAGCATACAGCTGTCTTGGTGGTGGCAGAGACAGGAAGATTTGACTGCATGCATGATGTGAACTGCAGAGAGCAGCTGTCAGCTGTTTCAGACAAGGAGAGACGCAGTAGTATCATCTCCTATCAGAGGTAAGCACAATACTGAATTACTGAGTAGGCTGATTTTGAAATTATCACTCTGTTTTGACACTTGCTGACAACTTCTCATAACTTTCTGCATCCAAAAGACTTTGAATCTTCCCCTCTGCAGCATAATAATGGTTAAAAGAACTGGGTAGTCCAGGTGATGTAGTTACAAAGGGGTTGCAGAGCTATGGACTCTTAAGAAAATCTGTTTAATTGCATTAGACTGGTATTAACCAGCTTCTTACCAATGTTTTTATGATGGATTTTCCTGAAAGGTTCATGTCTACAGTCTGCTTTCTGGGCTGGTGATGCAAAGCAATGGCAATCTGACAGTATTCAGTTACATTTGATATGGTTTTAGCCAAAGGCAGCTAATACCCAATGAGCCTTTTTAAAGACAGAGTTTTGGAGTTGTTCTGAAGCACTGTAACTTTTCATTACTATTTTCTGAAGAGAAACTAAATAGAGCAGAATGATGACCAAAAAAAAAAAAAAAACCTTGAAACTAAAAAAAAGAAGAAAAATCCCCCAAAGCAATTCAGCAGCAAGACTCGCATCCAGTAACTTCAATGTTAGCACATTCGTATGTTTGTCTTCAGTTCTGTTCTGCAGGATAACATGTAGACATAAAGACAGGGCTGCCAAATCCTCCACATTTTTCTGGCATTTCTGTTTCTCACAGTTGTCTCCCACCTTCCTACATTTTCAGACTTCAGGAACTAAGTACTCTCTCTACTGAATACAACTCCATGTTTCCCTGTCAAAAGTTGCCAGCTCCTTCCCCCAAAAGGGAATTTTCTGGAGAACCTATAAATGCTCTGCTCTGGCTAGGGGTAACTACAGGAAATCAAGGCAAGAGTTTGGGCTACAGGATGAAGATGTGAGGCAGATCTTCCAGGATGCTAGCACAGAGGTGGCTGTATCATGAGGCAATGGGACACGCAGAAGCTGCTGACATGATGAGAGAAACAGAAGAGAAAGGGTCAATGGTAAGCATGGAAGCCATTGAGAGTGGCTGGGGTCAAGAGGTGGATGTGAAGCTGGGACAGCATGGTAAAGGAGGCTCGTAGTCCCTTCACTGACGAAGCCCCTGGAGTAATGCTTCTTGCACCCATGTGCACACCAACAGGCTCAGGCTATCCACACTGAACACAAAGCTTTGGTCACTCTCCTGCAAAAATCCTGCAACAGGGGCAGGTAGTCTTATCCCCTGGACCACAGCCTGTGGACTCTGCTTGTCCCTCTGCACTGTGTAAAGGCAGGTGATGTGTTTTATCAAGGATGGATGAAGGTTTGGGCACTCTCAGAACCTAAAATCCTTTACTAGATCTTCCTCATAGTAGAAGAGAGACAGGAAAGAAGAAAAGAAAATTGAGCAGAGGGAGGCAGAACCTGAGGCTGATAAAGGAACACAAAGGAAATCCACCCCACCAGGAACAAAGCTTCTCCTTGTTCATAGCCAGGGAGTCCTACCCAGGAAAGCCCTCTCAGGCACCAAGGAGTGACATGCAGAGATCAACCATCCAGCCTCAGGCAGGAAAACACAGCATAGAAAGGAATAGCAACAGTAAGCAGACAGCTAAGGAATAAGAAATCCTGACTCCCCCAGAAGTACGTTATTTATAAAATGCTTCAAGTGTAAGAATTACCACAGCATTCTAAACTGAGGGGCCAAAGCCTCAGGGTGAGCCTCAGGTGCAGTAGCATGAGACATACCAGTGTCTCTGATGCAAAGTGACAGAGCCTTGAATATTGCAGTGATGGTGAAGGAGGTGGCTTCAGCCCAGACGCACTG